TCTTACGTGAATGAGACTTTCATTAAAGGTGCTTCCAGGAAAACTCCCAAACACTCAGCGTTAATGATCTGTTGGACCTGGGCCCCTGCATCAATGGTCTGAGGGACTGGTTTGGACTCAATCGTCAAACGTAAAATAAGAATTAAGAAAAACAATTAATAATAATAATATCACTCTCTCCCTTCCTCTCTCTCTCTCCCTTCTTCTCTCTCTCTTTCGTGTGGTAGGATATCACTAGCAGATTCAGAGGGTGTGGTTATCTCAGTTGAAAAGTTGACAAGTGAAGAGTTTGACTTGTTTCCAAAGAAGATACCAATACGACCTACAGACCCCAACCACTAGTTATTAACTGGTTATTAAAAAGGGCGGGGCTTACCTAGATTGCCATTAAACTCCGATTTAACTCCAATTTGAAGAGCATGATTCTCATACAGGACACCACTGTTCTTAATCACAAACCTGTGAATAATTAACTAGTAGTTAATTAACTAATAGTTAATTAACTACCTTTTAAAAGATTGTTCAGCTTCAGGCGATAGGCTAAGAGGAGCTGGTTCAGTTGGTACTACAGGAGCAGTCACTGAAGGGGCAGTTACTGGAGCAGGGGCTGGGGCTGGACTGACGTCAATTAGTGAGAACTCGTTTGCAGTGGGTGTGGTCGTTGGAGGCGTGGCTGCTGCAGGAGAGCCAAATATAGAAGCTTGTTTTGGTTTATTAACTTGAGCTATGAAAAGAAACAAATTATTAATAACTAAAAGAGAGGTGTGTCTCTATAATACCATATATGGGATCAGATGCATCTCCTCCGGCTGAGGGTGGGGTGGGCCTGGCAGCTGCTATTGGTTCTGGATCAGTTTCTCGTTTTTGAGTTTCAGGGGACTCGTGAAGTTTAGCCATCCACGGAGCAGTTTGGTAGAGCTTTGAAAGAAGAAGAGAATCCTTTTCTGGAAAGACTGGCATCACTTCAAATATGGTAGCCTACAGACAGAGTTTTTAAAAGGTAATAAATTAAAAACTACCTCTCCCTCCCTCCCTCTCTCACCAATATGTCCACGTCAGCTTTATGCGAGAGTTTAAGATACTCTATTGCTCTTTGCTGGAGCTCAAGGTCGGAGTTACGGCTCTGCCCGTCCTGTTCAAAGACACCTTGAATGTGGGTCTTAATCTCGGGGTAAAGGTTTATGAACTTGACGTAAGTAGAGAGGAGGAGGGAGCGAGTGGTGAGGGAACAGAATGGGAACTTTGAGTGTAGTAGCTGGAACTGGATCAGAGGAGAAGAGCGAGTGTCACCAGCAATGAGGTTACCAAACTCTCCGAGAATGTACCCGCCCACTTTAATCATGTTCTCGTGACAAGCAGGAGCTTGCAGAGCCTAAAAAATAAAATAAAATATTGATTAATTAGTTAATTAATTAGTGTGTGGGTGGTATGTAAATACTCAATCAGTTGCCATAGTTACCTCAAAGCAGGTCTTAGCAGCATATCCCTGTACCTCCTGTTTATTGACCACTATTTGAATGATGCGATACCACACCTCTTCACTGATGTAGTCTCCTGCTAGTCTGATCAGGTTCAAAATGGTGTCCACATACCAGCTATAGTCACTGGCATACTTCTCGGATAATATGGCAATTTTAAGAACCTAGAATAATATAAATAATAATAATAATAATAATAATAATAATAATAATAAACATTCTCCCTTCTTTTACAACCTCTATACATATTAAACAGACACAGATACACAAGTTCATACTCAGTCATTACTGGACAGGTTACATTATACATTGACTCATGTTCTTACTAGTGCTTCTCTGATGGAGTAATCAGCCTTCTCCAGATACTGGAGCAGTTCCTGTACTATAGTCTGAGCGTTGCTATGGTCACACATAGCATATAACAGGTCAATGGCCTTCTGACGAACACTCACATCTCTCTCAGTCTAACAGAAACAAATAAATAAAATAAATAAATTAATTAATAATTCAATTTACTATTACCTTGAGTGTATTCAGTACGGTGTCCTGGTGCTTCCGAACTGCTTCACGAGAGAATTCAGTTAATGAGAGGTTACACAATCCTTCAATTGAGAGGAATCTCATGTTAGTCTCCTTATGAGTCAAATATCCACCCAAAAGGTTAGT